ATTTCTTCCACTTCCCCCCACGGGTAGGGTTTCTCTCGGTGTGGGACCTCTGAACACGCTTATGCGCATCCTCCCTGAACAGCGCTGTCAGGAGATGTAGTCATGCCGAGTGAGAATAAAGTAGGCCTACTGCAGAGTCTGTAACATTATTCATTCTGTCCACCCTGCAATCTGTTAAAAAAACCAAAAAAAAAACTCATTTCCTCTCAGTTTTTTTTCCGCCACGTAACTTAAAATATCTATCCAAGACGGAACAGAACATCTCCCCACGCAAAACCTCAGACTATAACCACCTTTAACACTATATACAACTATAACTACTTTACTTGCTCGTTTAAGACCTATTTGCACAACTAAAGTGACTTTACCTTCAGCTCATATCCCCCACTTTTACATTTAAGTCACATCCTTTCCTCGTCACACCCACAAGTCACATCCCTAAAAAAAAAAAGTGATGGCGATCTGGATATATACCTCAAATATGGCTAATTATCCCACTTTAGAAAAGTTCTTACCATTCTGTTACGCTGTTGTTAAGAGGGTTTGCAGGAGCTCCTCCACAGGGAGTCTTACAATTCGACAGTTATGGGGTCGGTGTAAGAAATAATGGCGAACATGAGGATGGGTCAGAGGTATATATGCAAGTGCAGCGCGGCCGCCGGTGCCTGCTGTGCCGCCATTGGTCAATTACCCTGTCAGTTAGACGGTTTGAAGCTATCCGCGGGTTTCTATTGGATGAGCTGCTCTCTCGCGATAAAGACCGCCTCCCAGACCCCACCCGAATCCCCGCCATCCCACCGTTATTGTGCTGCAAGCATGGCGCCTCTTATTGTGAGGAAAGTGCAGTGTAATTTATAGCATGCTGGCACCAAGTCTTCCATACAGTCAACAGCTTGAATGCACGTCCTCATTAAAAATAAATATATAGACATGTAATAGGATCTGTAATTTGAAAATAGGGCCTGTAGCACAGTATTAACTAGAGTCGCATTATTTTTTTGATCTTAATGATCCTCTTGCATAACAAGTCTGATTTATTCTATTTTTGTTCCCGAATGTCACAAATCACAATTTGCCTCAAGGGGCTGTCCCACATATTTTTGCACTAATTAGTAACCATTTGCCTGAATTTCAAACTCATGGATACCTTCAACACTGTACAACCTTCCACAAAGATTGGGATGCTGGTACAGCCTAATGTGTTACTCTGCTAACAGACAATATCAACAAATATTCACCTGCAGTTCATACAAAATGTGATGGGAGAGTTTGAATCATTTCCAGGTAGATTGTGTTAGAAGTTACATTTGCAGTGCATCTTTTGCTCTGACCATTTGTCCTCTCAGGCTTCCTAATGACGGGCCTACCTGTTATACATAATACAGTTCGTCAAGCATTCTACATATTATATTACATGTATATATATATACGTATATATATATATATATATATATATATATATATATATATATATATATTTAATTAAGCAGTAGAAGCAGTTGAGATTATTTCCAGTATTCTGTCAGTCTAAAATGAAAGGTCAAACTGTCCAGTCACAGATGAGGGAATTGTAGGCCACAGAGTGCCACAGACGCCCAACCCCCAGCCCTCCTCCCAAGATTTAACCGTTGCTAAGAAATGAATAACAGAGTTGCCTGGATACAGCCCAGTATCCACATAGACCGCCTTTATCTGGTAGTCACGTGACTCAGCTTAAATGGCAGCACTAACGGGCTACAGTGCAGCTGCCTCTGTGGGGGGATGTGAAGCGCCACCTCTTTTATAAAATCTTTCACCCTAATGTCCTGTGTCTGTAAGGAAATGCACTTGCTCTTGCCTGCAAGTGCATGTGTCCTCCTCTGGTAAAACTGATGGCGGCAAAACAAATGTAAGTGTTATGAGAAGGACGGGGTGTGGCCTCTGCATGTCATCAATGTGGGCCAGTTCTTTTGTTCACACAATTCATCAAAGCAGCTGTTGTTCACATAAAAAGGTCTTTCTGTCTTGAGACGGAAATGTTACTGGGTGTGTGTCGCAGCTCTGTTTGTGTCTGTCTTAAACATCTAACTTTCAGTGAGACAGACCCTATGTTGTTTTTCAGTGGGCTTAAAGAAAAGCCAAGCAAACTAACAGACAGTTAAGCAGCTTGGTTGCTAACAACAAAGGAAACTCTATGACAACAGTTGTCCCTAAGGGAGAAATGATACCTCTCTGAATGTGGGACTGTTTAAAATATCCCAGATTTAGAGATGCAAAGGCAAGAAAAGCTGATTTATAGTGGCAGCTGCAGTATACTACCTGCAGCCACAATCACTGTGAAACTAGTTAATTTCTGCCTCTTGGTGAATCATTTTAGACTTTATCAAATCAATCATCTTTTTAAAGACATTGGGTTTTTTCCTGGCTGATGATATCTAATGCACTTCTGGGATTTTGAGGCACTGGACCACCTGATCAGATTTAGTCACTATGAAATGATTTCATTTTAAATCATAATCATATGCAGTGTATTGCATTTGAAAACATGTAAAACATGTGTTACTGTTTTGTCCCCCTCTATTCCTCAGTGGCCTCTATTATCCTTTTTTCTGTTGGTTGATAATGTGTCATTTCCTTTTCCTGTACACATGCTTTCACATTCTCTTTCCAGTCACTCTATATCCTCCTGCCATTATACTTTGATACAGAGAGGTGAAAGAAGTACTTTAGAAGTAATCTTTTACTTAAATAAAAGTACCAATTGTGTAGACAGCTTTACTCTGTCACAAGTAATTGCTTTCAAAACTTGACTTAAGTAAAAGCACAAAAGTGTTACCATCTAAATATACTTAAAATACCAAAAGTAAAATGATTTATTATGCAGAATGCTTCATTTCAGAATCACATATATTATATTACTGAATTATTGATACATTAATGTATTCATCATAATAATGTTACAGCTGGTAAAGGTGGGTCTAATTTTAATTACTTTATAAACTGCTGGGTAGCTTAACCTTAACTTAGATATGATATAAATCTGTAAAGTAACTAGTAAATATAAATGTCATGTAGCTGTATTGGAGTAAAAAGTACAACATTTGCCTCCAAAATGTAGCATAAAATTGAAATGCTCAAATAAAGTATCTCAAAATTGTACTTAAGTACATGAGCAAATGTACTTAGTTACATTCCACTACTCCATGATACAATACTTGCTAATAAATTGATCTATTAATTGATTATTATTGTCTGTGTGTCCATGTTCCAGCATCCACTGTAGGCCTATTTTGACTTGTCTGTAAGGGTCTTGTCTGTTCATGGCTGCTTTTAAATATGATTTTAAAATAATAGGTACCAACTTATAAACTGATAATCATCACAGAGGGCAGTGAGGGAAAGAAAATGGCCCAAACTGTGATTGGAGTGGCTTTTTTTTTATCTGCATGTCATAGAAGAAGACAGAATTCCCGAGTCACTACTTTACATTAATAGCTCGTGTTTCTTTTTGATTTGCAGCAGCAGAACATATCAGTATATCAGGTCATTAACCACGTGGATCTCAGAACAGTACTAGCAGATTCTGCCCCACCCTAGTAATCGTACACAAAATATCACATTTACGTTATATCTCTATATAAATAAGGATACCACACCCATTTTCTTTTATCTGATGGCTCAGTTTATCTAACTGCACCTGCATTAAAACACTGAACACAGACACTCTGCTGTGACAGATGGAAAATATGCTTTGTCACTTTGTTGGGTATCGTATTCTCTCTTAGCTAGATGCAGTGCGGTCAGTTTCACGCAATGAAGGATCACTCCCATCTCTCTAGAATTCCCATCCTCCCTCTCTCCTCTTGGTGTGCAGCTGCTCAGACCCTCCCTGTCTCACAGCTGCTGGGGAGGAGGAGGGGAGTGGAGAATGTTCTGGCAAGCCCTGGCTGGGAGCCATGGCTGCTTCCTGTCCTTCTCTATCATCCCCTGCAGTTCATATTGAGTATAGCAACCACAAAAAGCTGGTTGTAAATCATACATCCCCGCTCCCCTGGTGAATAAATTATGATAACTCCTATGTTATGGTTTGTGTTCTGACAAAATGTTTTGGGTTCATACTGCATTGAGGATTTTACAGGACTGCAGTAGACTTGAAAGGTGCTGATTATGTTGGAGGCACAACACAAGCCTCTTTTCACATGGCTGTCATTCCTTGCAGGATTCCAGACAGCTTAAAAGGATTTAATGTTGTAACTGCAGGATGGAAACTGTTAAGAAGGACCTTATCCAATGCACATATCAAGTGCCTTAGTACAACCATTATGTCACATGAACTGCAATTCAGGCAATTTCAGTTCCTCAAACAAGACAGTACCAGAGGAAGCACACCCTGATGTCAGTCCAGCTGAACAGCAGAGGCACACAGAGACAGGCAGACATGAAGCCACGTGATCGGCCCACTGAATGACATCATTGCAGAGAATCTGGGACAAAGAGGGAGGAGAGCTGGAGAGCTGGCATGCCGGATGGATACCATAGCAGGCCTCAGCAACATGAGCGCCGTGCTGATATCAGCTCGAGTGTGATGGAAGCATCTTGTGCGGCAGAAGCATTCAGCCATTTTGCTTAATTTATTATGCATCAAGTGAACTGAGCGCTTGCAAAAAAAAAAAAAAATGTACAGAATTACAGAATTTTGAAATACATAATTTGCATATATACACCAGGATATGGCAAGGGTAAAATCTGTTTTACACCGGGGTTTCCTACAGTTAAAATATATGTATGCAGTATTTGCTTATTCCTTTGAATGCGTAATTAGCTTTGTTTGAACTAGCCCTTTATTCAGTGAGAATGACCTCAAATTTCTGCACACGCAAAAAATCTATTTGGAAAATGGTGTTGTTACAAAGCACATGAAGCGCAAATTGATCACAAAAATATAAAACTCCTTGCCAGCCAGTTATAGTCTGTTTTTCATTTATTATTTTCGCACTTTAAGATAAGCTTTACAATTGAAACGTGTTCAAATTTGAATGCAGAATACAGATTTAAAGCAGTACCGATTGGAGGCAGTAAAAACCTTGTTTTCCCACAGTGCACAGAAGCAAATCCCCTGCCCTGCACATATAAATCTGGTTGCACCGCCCTCCCATTCAGCAGTTGTTGCATCGACCCCGTTGGGTACAACACGCGACGCAAACAGACCGTTTTTAAAAAACCCTTCTCGTCCTCCTCTTCCTCCTCAAACCTCAAACGAAAACATGGTAAGTTTTGTTTTTTCTTAATCTGTCCGTCTGAGACAATTTTGTGAGATAGAAATGAAGGTTAAGCAGCGTCTCTGTTGTTAATTAGCAACACGACGTCGTCAAGGGTTTTCAATCAGCTGGTGACTCACCAATGTAATAAACAGACACATTTTCACGCGGTTTATCGCTATGACGTTATTTACACGATTTATAGACAATTTACGACTATATTTAGGGATGAAAGTGAACTGCATAGCCTAATCTTGCTGTTGATGCAGCAGTGGCACGATGTGATTGTCATTGTTTGGAGACATGGATGAGAACAATGCACTGGCTTGCGGCATTCAGACTTTAGTAATAGCCAGTCAGAAGGATAAATGAGTTTCCTCTGTAAAGCAGGTGCATTATTTGTCTATTTATATTTTTATTTTTGTCAAATTAATGTGTCAATATGCTAAAACCCGACACCTTGCAAATATCCTAGCCTGTTTCGAGGCAGGGAGGGGCAGGTTGGGTGGGGATGGATGGAGACATTAGATTGCAGCTATCACTTTAATTCATTTGATGCCGCAAATATGTTTAATTTCATCCATGATTTTTTTAAAAGCATAAATTGAGCCAATACAAAACAAGTTTTAAACATGACAATACAATATAACGGATGACTATAAATAAATACCAATCTCAAAATTAATTTAATCTAAACTGATAATTTGGATTACATGCCTATATCTACGATAAAGAATGAAAGTTGTGATTGGGTAGATTTTTCCCAAACGTCAGCTGAGACTGTGCATCCTCAAGGCAGGAGAGCAAGTGGAATATTCCAGATTCTTCATGTGCATGCGCAAAGGAATTTGCATCAGGCTTATGCTTGCAAAGGGAGAGGGAGAGTGCTATGAAAAGACAAGAGGACAAAAAAGACTGGAGGAAAGACAAGAGCAGCGTCCTGCCTCTGCGGGGGCTGCTGTCAGGCATTTCTGTCCCCTGCAGATTGTGGTGCAGGGAGGTGCCTCCTGCTGCACTGCCTGTTAATCTCAGATAGGGGGAGCAACTGAATGTTTCCAACTGATTTCATGTAAAAGCCAGAAGTGTCAGAATGTAAAATAATGTGAAATTAAAATTAAATGAACACAAGTACATAACCTCTCTGTTTTTATTTTTGTTTTTTTCCTTTCCACAGCGTGAGTGTATCTCCATCCACGTTGGTCAGGCTGGTGTCCAGATTGGCAATGCCTGCTGGGAGCTTTACTGCCTTGAACATGGGATCCAGCCGGACGGACAGATGCCCAGTGACAAGACTCTCGGAGGAGGAGATGATTCCTTCAACACCTTCTTCAGTGAGACTGGAGCTGGAAAGCACGTCCCCAGAGCTGTCTTTGTAGACCTGGAGCCCACTGTCATCGGTAAACTGTCATTAAATATAGATGCCAAAGCTGCTTCTTGATTTCATCAGGTCAGACCCTCAAGTGATTGCTGATTGAATCTGTATGTTCAGATGAGGTGCGCACTGGTACCTACCGCCAGCTGTTCCACCCTGAGCAGCTGATCACTGGCAAGGAGGATGCTGCCAACAACTACGCCCGTGGACACTACACCATCGGCAAAGAGATCATTGATCTGGTGCTGGACAGGATCCGTAAACTGGTGGGTGACTTGATATCAGAGAGATCTCTTCCTAAATTTGATTCCTAATTTCAAATTAAACGACATATCAGCATCTCGTATGTGACTACTGTCTCTCCTTTTCTGTCCCCAGGCTGACCAGTGCACTGGCCTTCAGGGCTTCCTGGTCTTCCACAGCTTCGGAGGTGGCACCGGCTCTGGCTTCACCTCCCTGCTGATGGAGCGTCTGTCTGTCGACTACGGCAAAAAGTCCAAGCTGGAGTTCTCCATCTACCCAGCTCCCCAGGTGTCCACCGCTGTGGTGGAGCCCTACAACTCCATCCTGACCACCCACACCACCCTGGAGCACTCTGACTGTGCCTTCATGGTAGATAACGAGGCCATCTACGATATCTGCCGTAGGAACCTCGATATCGAGCGTCCTACTTACACCAACCTGAACAGGTTGATCAGTCAGATTGTGTCCTCCATCACTGCTTCCCTTCGTTTCGATGGTGCCCTCAATGTTGATCTGACCGAGTTCCAGACCAACTTGGTGCCATATCCCCGTATCCACTTCCCTCTGGCCACCTATGCCCCTGTTATCTCTGCTGAGAAGGCTTACCATGAGCAGCTCTCAGTGGCTGAGATCACCAACGCCTGCTTCGAGCCAGCCAATCAGATGGTAAAATGTGACCCTCGCCACGGCAAGTACATGGCTTGCTGCCTGCTGTTCCGTGGTGATGTGGTGCCCAAAGATGTGAATGCTGCCATTGCCACCATCAAGACCAAGCGCACCATCCAGTTTGTGGACTGGTGCCCCACTGGTTTCAAGGTTGGCATCAACTACCAGCCGCCCACTGTAGTTCCTGGTGGAGACCTGGCCAAGGTCCAGAGGGCTGTGTGCATGCTGAGCAACACCACTGCTATTGCAGAGGCCTGGGCTCGACTTGACCACAAGTTTGATCTGATGTACGCTAAGCGTGCCTTTGTTCACTGGTATGTGGGTGAGGGTATGGAGGAGGGAGAGTTCTCTGAGGCCAGAGAGGACATGGCAGCTCTGGAGAAGGATTATGAGGAGGTTGGAGTCGACTCCATTGAGGGTGAGGGAGAGGAGGAGGGAGAGGAGTATTAAAAAGGACATAAAGGCACCAGTTAAATAGGAAACAATTGATTGCAATGTGTTCTTGAATGCATTACAAACGGAAATGTTTGTCGTATCAATTACCAGTTTGGCTGTTCACAATAAAACTCCTGTGACATGAATTTGTTTGTCTGTTATTAATTCTACCTAAAATGTGTATTGAGCTATCCCATGTAATAAAGTTGTAAACACCAAGCACTTAAACATTTCCTCATTAAGTTACGCAGCATATTTATACAGAGGGGGAAATCATACTTGGTAAAGTTAGCACCTGATTTATGCAGGGTATAAGTTTCATAAAAATGTACGGTAATGTCTTAACTCTTATTCTGAAGGTCTATAATATTAACTTTCCATGCATGGCTCAGAAACCATAACATGACCTGTAAGAATTGTGTGTTAGTGTGTGACTCCCATAAGCCTGCGATCAACAGAGCATTTTGTATTTCTACTCCGAGTGATGAGTGGAAATCTGTTTGGTTACTAATTTTAGTCCAGCATCAAGAATATTTGGGGGATGGTCTTCGGTCAGTGAGTCAATCTTATCAACATCATTAATGTAGCAGCTTTATCAATAACTACCAAAAGTGTCATGAAACACAGTAAAATAAGACTTCACAACTGTTTTGAAGACAGTTTATTGGAAAACTTTCAAATTCAGTTTTGTCCAAATTAAAACACGCACTTTACAACCAAACTTGCTTCAAATATGAACAAAAGATGACTGTCTAAGGTAAAATTTGAGGAAAATCTTTATGGAAAACCTAAATAATACACACTCGTGAATTTGTCATTTAGAAAATATGTTTTTAAAAAAAAGTATAAAAAGACATCCCAGGTGCCTATAACAAATCAGAAGTTGCTTGGTTTTGTATTTGGTTGTGCAAGGCTGGTGATGGTTCACACCGGCCTGTCCTGCAGCAGAGGACAGTTGTCCACAGTTCCCTTCTGTTCAGAAGACTCCAAAACATTGAGGCTCCAGAGCAGGTATGAGGCCGGCTGGGATGCGGGCCTGCAGACACAACCATGTCTTCCTTCAGAGGATGGTAGGATTTAAAGCGCCTGGTGAGTAAAGCACAGTCCAGACAGGCCGTTTAAATTACATGTGCAATCCATGCTATTTTCAACAAAATCCAGTGAAAATATCAAAACCAACTATGTGTTACAATACTTCCCTAATTTATCTGTGGCTCACAGACCAGACCATTCATTCTCACAGAAGATGTAAATCTTAAAAATATACATACTTTAATTTTTAAACCTGAATTGTTTTTTTTAGCTACTTGACGAAACTGACATATTATTTACATTTTAAGTGAATACAGTGAACTTGTTAGTAAACAGTTGCTTCTTATGACATCAAGCAGACACAGAGCGACGTTATCATTCATTTGGAGTCGTGATTCACTCTCCTTTTAGCTCTGTGTTTGATCTCTACCAACTCCTGAAGGAAATATGTGGCTCTTTAGCTGCTAAATGCTCCACAGTGTTCACCAGCTAGTGCGTTCAGACTGCAGGCCAAAGTGACCCAAATCTGATAATTTTGCTCATATATGACTCAGATCAGACTTTTTCACTGTGAACAGCCCAAGTGGCCAGTTTACTCTGGCATCTGATATGGGCCACGTTTAAAAAAATAGTCAAAAATAGGCAATACATCAGAATTGAGCATTAAGGCATGCAGAATGAACGTAGCCTTAGTGTGTCATTTAGTACTGAGCAGGTAGCGTACAGTGGGTTTTTAGAGCTTTTCCTCTGAAAGCAGCTGTCTGCTACAACCTAAAACCAAAATACCAAAGTAGAATCAAAAAACAATGTATCTGAAATGTGCTGAAAATCTCTGCAGAGTTGGGTGATAACTTTCTGTGGGTTCCTAAATATGAGCGATCACTTAACACAATGTAATTTGATCCATTGTTATTATAAAAGATTGATTGTAGCCTCAAACAGTTGGGCATTGTACTTTTTAGCAAATGTTTCAGCAGCAGGACAGTGTGTGTGGGACTCAAAATAAACTAAAATGCCTGTGTTTTTAATAGTTTTTGGACAACAATGGATTTATGTGGGACAGATCAGTAGCTATATTGGGCATTGGCTGCACATGAACTACTTATTATTAATTCATCGTTGGATTGGGTTTTCTCATTGGACTTGTTTATAGTATACCAAATGTAGGATATCACCAAACATATCCCTTAAAGAAAGTAAATGAGATTATGTAAAAATTATTAGGAATACAAAATTGACATCCACAAGGAAAGTAATTTCTTACTTGTATGAATATGCCACTATTCCTGCTGCTACAACGAGTACCAGGACACCCAACACCATGGCAATTGTGCCAGGAGAAGACAGACCTGAACCTGAAACAAGGATCGCAGAGTCAGTAAGTAGGATAAAGCAGAACTGTATTGTATTGTTGAATCAAACAATCTCCTTTGTGGACTGTTGTACAGTGTTTATGTTGCATACCGATGTCGACATTAACTTTGGTACTGGTGGCAGCTAAACTGACGTCGTTGGCCATGGACACATTGATGCAGTAGACCCCAGAGTCATTGAAGAAGTGACGCAACACCAGCTGGCACTCTTTGGAGGGCTCCACCATGTTGCACATCGTGTGAATCGGCTTCAAGCACTCTGCATCCAGAATCACACTGCACACCTCTTTTGGAAGGCTGGAGACAAGAAAAAAACAATAACATGCTTTTAAATGAAACAACATTATTTGGATTGGACTGGATTATTGGATAAAAGTGAAGAAGCATTCACCTTCCCTGGCAGGTAACAGTTATATCCAAAACATTTTTGTTTATTTCAGGTGTTGCCATCACAGCATTTTCCATTTGTACTATCTCTACTTTTTCAATGCCCTCTGGAAACAAAGACAAGAGAGACAGACAATAAAAAAAAAGGTTTTCATTTTACATCTTGATGAACGTCGCACTAATGAAAGGTAACTCACCAAACACTTCAATGCCAGTGCAGAAGGAGCCATAACGATATATCACACAGTCGTCATCTGAGGGTTTATCTTCAGCAGCCCTCTTAGCAACTACAACCACTGTAGCTTGGCCTGTCAGTGTCACTGTTTTCTTTGCACCTGGAGAGAATAAACAGCAGCAGAGAGTTAATTCACTGATCATTATTGACACAGTGTAATATTGTTAATAATTATTAATTAATTATGCCTGTTAGGATTATTACAATGGTGTGATAGCTTAATTTAGTGTATAGAATGTAAGTGGTGCAAAAATACGTTTTCCTGTGTTTACTGAATGCACCTCCTTTAACCGATGTTGGTAGTAGTGTGTATTACATATACTCAGGTACTATGCTTTTGCAAAAACTTAAGGTACTTGGATTTTACTTAGTATTTCCATTTTATGCAACTGTATACTTCCACTCCGCTACATTTCAGAGGCAAATATTGTACCTTTTACTACACTACATTTATCTGACAGCTTTAGGTACTTTTCTGATTACAATTTTCCATCCCCTTTCCTGTCCAGTGAAAACCAAGTGTGTGTTATGTGTCGTCACAAAAAGCTCATGAAAAGTTTACTTTTAAGAAGTAAGTGGTTTTCACAGGACAGAGATGCTACAAACATATGATGATCTTTTAGAATATGATGCACTGCTGTAGATTCAACTACGCAACAATAAATAAAGTAGTTAAATTAGCTCAACCTTAATAGCAGTAGTAATATTAATCCAGAAATATCATATTCAGTACAAAAAAAAGTAAAACATTGACAGGGAGCATTTTACTGCACAATGAGTACTTTTACCTTTCAAACAACCTATACATACATACTAAGTATGTTTTAAATATAGGACTTTAACTTGTAGTGGAGTATTTTCATAGTGTGGTATTAGTATGTTTACTTAAGTATTGTCGTGCATAATGTCTCCTGTAAATAATGTCGCCAGAAGCTCCTTTTTATTCTGCGGTAAAGCCTTACACCAAATATCATATTTAAGTAGCTATGGGTTTTATTACTTTAACATGTGTGGGTTTGCTTGGTAGATTCATAGATAAATCAAATGAAGTAAGCAAATTTGAGCCAGCAGCTCTCAGTCAGCATGTAAATCAGAATTCAAACGATGAAGCACAAAAGAGCAATTCATTTTAAAGTCAACTTGTTCTGCTTGTTTCACACAAAGGCAGAGCTTCTTATTAGATTTACATCACATTTGCATTCGATCTGGTTCATCTGGCAGATGGTCAGCTGGTATAAACTCAGTATTTTGCACTTCAGCAGGACATGTTGCTGTTGCACATATTACTGTACCTCTGATGGGGACTGAACAAGTGATCTTCTGGTAAAATCATACTCAAATTATGTACAAGCAACTATTCTACATATCTTACCTGCCACAAGTCTGGTCCGTGCCTCACTGTCAGCTGGCAGGTCATTGTTGTTGAGGGAGGGAGTCTTGGCCACTGTGGTTGCTTCCTGGGCCGGCTGATTGGTAGAGGCAGTGGAGGCCTCGTCCTCAGTGTTGTCCTCCTCTGTGTCCGAAGGAACCATGTTGACATTCAAAGCAGCAGTTGCCTTGGTGGAAACCAGTAAGGGGAAAGCAGACGCCAATGCAGCAGCTTTCACTACACACAGAGAAGATTGTTGAGTTAGGTCTGTGCTTGTATGTGGAGCTGAGGTAAAATATACGGGGACAGAATATAGCAAATGTTAATATATTTTTTAGCTTCTAAAGGTTCAGTGTGTACGTTTTAGTGGCATCAAGTGGTGAGGGTTGCAAATTGCAACCGATGGCTCAGTCACCGCTCACCCCTTCATTTCCAAGTGCATAGCAGAAGCTGTGGTGGCTGACGCGCTCTGTCGGCTCTTGTGCTAAATAATACGTGTAAAATACTACTCTTCTGATTCTAATAAACCAGACAAGTACTACTACTACTACTTCTTCTTCCTTCTTCTTTGTATGCATTCTACTCTGTAGAGCAGTTTGTCTGTTGGGGCTACTGTACAAACATGGTGACTTCCATGTAAGGGGACCCGTGGTGTATGTAGATAGAAATGGCTCTTTCTAAGGTAATAAAAAACAGTCCATTATGTAAGATCTTCATACACCACTGAAAACATGGTGATGTATATTATAT